AATGGTTACATTTCAAGGCATGGATAACCTCTTTACATGAAATCTCTTGGAATATGTTTACCAATGAAAGAAACAGAGAACTAGTAGGCCAATGGGAAGGTTGGGGGAATTATGAATTTTGATGCAATGGGCCTGAATTTCAAAAAATGTCTTATGTGAGAGGCAGTTTTTCTAACTGCACTTTTCTTTTTTTTTTTTGGAGGGGTGGGGCACTAGGGTTTTAACTCAGGGCCTATACCTTGAGCCACTCCACCAGCCCTTTTCTTGTGATGAGTTTTTTTCAAGATAAGTTCTTGCAACCTATTTGCCTGGGCTGGCTTTGAACGCCAATCCTCCTGATCTCTGCCTCTTAAGTAGCTAGGATTACCAGTGCCCAGTTTGTCTTTTGTTTGTTTGTTTGTTTGTTTGTTTTTGAGACAGGGTCTTGTTATGTAATAAAGGCTGCCCTGGACTCCATCTTCCTGCCTCTGCCTCACAAATGCTATGATTACAGACACCCCATACTTCTTTTGACAGGGCAAATTGCTAATAATCTGGAATTGCAGTATGCTAAATGCTATCTTTAATTCTGTCTTCCATTTTCAATTCATTTTATATCATTACCAAATTAACCTTTCTAGAACACAAAGATTATTAACCTACTTAAAAATAAACACCAGGCCAGGGTGGCTCACTTCTGTAATTTCAGCTCCTGGGGGGAGGGAGTGGAAGCAGGAGAATCTTGAGTTTAAGGCTAGCCCAGGCAAAGTTATTGAGACCTTGTCTCAAAAACAAAATATAGTCCAGGCACTGGTGGCTCATGCTTGTAATTCTTGCTACTTGGGAGGCTGAGATTGAGAGGATCAAGGTTCAAGGCCAAGCCTAGGCAAATAGTTTGTATGACCCCATCTCCAAAATAACCAGGGCAAAACTGGTCTGGAGGTATGGTTCAAGAGGTAGAGCACCTGCTTTACAAGTGCAGAGTCCTCAAAACCCCAGACCCACAAAAAACAACAAAAATAACTAACATATAGACTGGGGTGTGGCTCAGGTGGTAAGCACCTACCTAGCAAGCAAGAGGCTCTGAGTTCAAACCTCAGTCTCATGGAAAAAAAAGGTAAACAAAAGGGCAGAAGATGTCGCTTAAGTGGCATAGTGCTTACCTAGCAAGCACAAGATCCTAAATTCAAACCCCAATACTGCCAACAAAAATACAAACTCCAGTAGCTCCCCATTGTCAGAGAAATGAGTTAAACACAATTAGCCTGATATTCAGTGCCACCATTATTCAGTGACCTACTTCTACTTTCTTATCTTGAATTATTTATACTTGGACTACCTAGGAAAAAGGTCAGCAAAACTACTGCCTGCAGACCAAATCTAGCCCATCCCTATGGTCAGTTTTTGACCTGAGATTATGAATGGCAATTTTTTTCTGGCACTGGGATTTGAACTCAGGGCCATGCACTTGCCAGGCAGGCTCTCTACCACACCTAAGCCATGCCTTTGACCCTATGTTTTTAATTGGTTAGGGAAAAAATGAAAATATCTTGTAACATGTGAAAATAAGAAATTTGTGTATCAAGGTAGGGATGCCAGCTCGGTGGTAGAGCACTTGCCTTGCATGTGTGAGTCCCTGGGTTCAATTCCAGTAATGTGGAAGGAAGGAAGGGAGGAAGAGAGGGAGAAAGAAAGAGAAGAATGGGCAGGTCAGGAGAGGGGAAGAAAGAAGGAAGGAAGGAAGGAAGGAAGGAAGGAAGGAAGGAAGGGAGGAAAAAATTCATTTTTCAAGCAGGGGCATGGTGGCAGATATGCCTTGAGGCAAGAGAATTGTTTTATCCCAGGAATTCAAGGCCCACATGGACAATGTAGCAAGACCCTATCTCAAAAGAAAAAAAATTCGTATTTCAACATCCTTAAATAGCTTTATTGAACACAATCATTCTCATTGGTTTACACATAGTTGTTTTTATACTAATATAGCAGAGTTGAAAGTTACAATAGAGATCTTATGGCCTTATCTGACCTGTTACGAAAAAAGTGATTAGAAGCCAGATGCTGATAGCTCACACCTGTAATCCTAGCTTCTCAGGAGGCAGAGGTCAGGAGGACCATGGTTTGAAGCTAGCCCAGGGAAATGGTTCTTGAGACCCCGTCTAAAAAAAAAAAAAACAACAAAAAACCCATCACAAAAAGGGGCTGGTGGAGTGTCTCAAGGTATAGGAAATGAGTTTAAATCCCAGCTCTGAAAAATAAAGCTAAATAAAAATTTAAAAAATAAAATAAAGGTGACTAGACAAGAGAGGTGGCTCGTGCCTATAATCCTAGTTTTATCTGGGAGGCTGAGGTCAGGAAGATTGAGGTTTGAGGTCAGCCTCAAACAGTTTGCAAGACCACCATCTCCAAAATAACCAGAGCAAAATGGGCTGGAGGTGTGACTCAAACAGTAGAGCAACTACTTTGTAGAAATGAAGCCCTGAGTTCAAACTCCAGTCCCACCAAAAAAAAAAAAAAAAAAAAAAGGTGGCTAATCTCTAAGATGAACATACTTCTTTCTACCCCATTCTATCTCACCTATCAAGACTTCTGCTGTCACCTTTAAAAGACTGTAAAAGTAAAATTTTCAAAAAATTAAGAACATGATTCTCCCACAAATAGCAAGCCAGACACATTAAACTCATTGAACCAGTTAGATGGTAAAACTAGTTCCAGGAACATTTAAGGTGTAAAAGTCAGAATAAAGTTTCAGATTAAACAAAACTGGTTCATGTCCTATACAGCAATAAAATCATAACAGAATAATAATTTGGGGGTTAGCTTTTCTATCAGATGGAAATGTACAACTAAAGTAGTTTCACAATGTTTGACAAAATCAAACCTTATTTAAATTGAAATAACCCTTGGAGAAGCAGGTTAAACAAGACTGGGAATATAGATCAAAGGTATAAATGATACATGAGGCCCTGGCTTCAGTCCCTCTAGCACCTCAAAGTAGGGGAAAAGGCAGGTTAAACAATGTCCTAGTATGAACTGAAGGGCTTTCACCACCTCCACTTTTTGCCTTATTTCCTTGTTTTAAATAACTTTTAACCTGTCCTGATTCTTCCAACCAAGACAGACCTCTTTTTATGCTCCCATTACTTTTTTGTACTTCCATTTTCCCACTAGGGTTTGCTTTTTTGTGTTGGTACTGGAGATTGACCCCATAGGCACCTGCATGCTACAAAAGCAACTCTACCACTGAGCTATATCCAGAGCTTTTTTTTTTTTTTTCATACTGGGGTTTGAACTCAAGGTCTACACTTCAAACCACTCCATCAGCCCATTTTTTGTTATAGGTTTTTTCTGAGATTAGGGTCTCAAGAACTCTTTGCCTGGGCTGACTTTGAACCTCGATCTTTCTGATCTCTGCCTCCTGAGTTAGCTAGGATTACAGATGTGAGCCACCAGCACCAGGCCTTCAAAATTCTGACATAGGTTCTTACTAATTTGCTTTGGCTGGTCTCAGCCTTCCAAATAGGAAAGTTTATAAGTGTGCTTGCTTGTGCCACCACACTTAGCTTACTTTTTTTTTTTTTTTTACTTTGAGCTTTGCAAGCTCAAAGCCTTGAGTTCAAATCTTAGTCACACCAAAAAAAAAAAAAAGTCTGTAAACTCTGGAGGATGAGGTAGGAGGATCTCAAATTGGAGGTCAGCTTGGGCTACACAGTAAGACTCCTCCAAAAGTAAAGGTTTTACTTTAACAAAAAAAATGGGATTTGGGTTAGGGTAGAAGTTCCGCAGTTCCCAATACCTTATTGCTGAAATTGAAACCCTCTCCAACCCCCCTCTTCCCAAACTTTTTTTTGTGGTACTGGGGTTTAAACTCAGGGCCTACACCTTGAGGCACTCCACCAGCCCTTTTTGGCCCCCTTTCTTCTTTTTTTCTTTTAATGTTTCCAGTTTTAATTGGAAAAACAAAAATCTTGAAACAAATACATACATTTAGGAGAAAATGGAAAAAGGGGATGGATTGCCAATTCATCAGCAAATGTTACCGACTGGTTCCAAAATTCAGATTTTTCTAGTTAGGTTGTGATTTTTTTTTCTTTTTTGAGATAGGGTCTCTCTCACAAACTATTTGCCTGAGCTGGTTTCGAACCTCGATCCTCCCGATCTCTGCCTCCTGAGTAGCTAGGATTATAGGCATGCCACAGGAGCCAGGCTTCCCAAACGTTTTATGACACTTTCCTTAAGCCTCCTTGAGTTCTCCCTAACGGTGCACCCCAGTGTGTCTTTGCTGCTCCAATCCTTAGGTGGTATTGATAACACGAAAATTGTTTTGATTCTCTTGGTTCCTTAGACCTTAACCCAGTGAGGTCGTTCATAAAAGCCAATCCAAGCACTAACATTTCACAGCAGATGGGGGACCCCTCTCTCACAGATGAGTGACGTGCGTGGATTCACCACGAGTTCCAGAGTCTCCCTCAACTTCCCTTCCTGTGTCACTAAGGAGGGGCAGAGGTCGGCCCGAAACGGTCTTAAAGGCTTCTCTTCAGAGACCTCGCATTTCCACTGCCCTATACAGGGAGGGTCTCAACCTTCAGTAAAATGGTGAGGTGGGCCCCGGTCTTTGCTTAGAAGTTAGCCCTTGTCTGTAAATTTAACCAGCACAGGCTTTTCCCATCTTTTTTGTTTCCTCAGACCCTGGCTTTTCCCCCTGAGAAGCAACCAGTGCTTCATTGCGGTAGTCAAGGCTCCAGATTCAGCATCCCTCTGCCTCAGCCTTCCTCACATTCCCAGCCCTGCCCAGCCATTTCTCAGGGAAATGGCCTAAGGCGCGTGCCACGGCGACTCGGGGCCAACGGTTTTCCAACGCGAGACCGGAGCGCGAAAGCAAAGCTGGAACCAGCTAGGCCGTGAGACGGGGTGGTGGGAGGACGAAGGGCGGGGCCGGCGCGGGAAGGATCGCGAAGGAGCTTAGAAGGCCCCGCCCTTTCCGTAGATATCTCTAGAAAGCCGTGCTGGAGGCCGAAAACAAAGACTGCGCAGGCGCGGCGGCCAGGCCCGGGCATTTTGCTGCGTCACCAGCCGCCGCCCGGCCTCACCACCCCTCGCTCGCACGCACGCACGTTCATTCTCCGTCCTCGCGCCCCTTTTCCTACACTTTTCTCTCCGACTGACGAGCCGCTCTCGCCGCGCGGTGCATTCTGGGAATCGAGGTCGAGCCCGCCGCCGCTGCCGCCGTCGCCTGAGGGGACGCAAGAAGAGGCCGCGACCGGGGAGAAAACGCCAGAGTCGCCACCGGAGAGGAGTCAACTCCACAGCAGCCGCCGCCAGAGAGGTCCGCCCACTTGTTCGCCCGTCCCCCTACCCCGTTCACCATGTGAGTACGACATCCCGCCGAGGGAAGGTCGCCTGGAGTGGGGTCGAGGCCGCGGGGGAGGGGGGTCCCGGGAAGCGTCTCCCTGCCCTCCTTCCCCCACTTTCTGGCGGTCCTTGGGCTTTCGCCCTTTGGTAGTAGCAGTCGTCCCTGCTTGGTGGTGGGAAGTTCAGGATCCTTGTTCCGGTTACCGTTGGCGGGTGGAGGACATTTTTTCCCTCCAGATGTCCACTTCTCCCCATCTCTGAGGCTTCCCTTCGCTTCCCGGCGCCAGAAATTCCACTTTTCCCCCTTGGGCGGTCTGCGTTACTCGGAACTCGGGGTAACTCGGCCGTCGGCGCTGCTCGCCATGTGGGCGCCGCGGAGGCGTGGACGCCTGCGGACGGCGGCCACCTGGCCTCCTGGGCAGCACGGAGCAGGCCCCGGGCTGGGCGCACCTGTGGTGGTCGCCCCACAAGCTAGTGGCGCGCCTGGCCGCCACCACGCGGCCTCCGTGGTGCTAGGCAACTAGAGCGAGGCCATGCGCCACCGCCACTTCCTCCCCTCTCCCGGGCCTCGGGCCGCCTCCTAAGTCCAGGTTCGGGGAAAAAAAGGTGGCCGCTTCCCTGGCAGCGAGGAGGAGCTGCCATAGAGCAGGTAGTGGTGCACGTGTTCAGGGGACGCGTCCTGGGGACGTTTTGTGTCCCGCGGGAAAGTTTAGGTAGTGTTTCCTTCTCTGGGAGGATGAAATCGGTAGGTGATCAGCTACTCGTCCCCAAGACCCAAACGTTTGTTCGTGGAGGTGGTCGCAGATTCTTTTAGCAATCCCTGGATTTATTACGATAAAGGAAAATTGTTGATTTTAAACGACTAAGAATTTTATTGGCACTTTTTTTCAGGCCTTCCATTCTTAGGAAAAGCTTTTTAAGACGTGAGAACTGATTTCAGAGGTTTGATGGGTTTGGTTTGGTTTTTTGGAGGGGGTGAGGGGAGCTAACTGCACCCAAAGTTGGATATGGAGATAATAAAGACAGTTTTTATTACTAATGTAAAAAGTATTACTCTCTCCAGGGTTTACTTTGATGAGTACATTCTATGGGCAGATCTAAGTGCGGGATACCCCTTTAGCCAGTTGATGACTGAGAACAGCCTCAAGAATAAAGTACTGTCAAGAGTGTGTGGAGGAGCTTTATTTTATTTTTCCGGTAGTGGGGATTGAAGCCACGGTCTCATCCAATGCTAGGCACTCCACTTCTCAGCCATTACCCAGGCCAAAAGACTTTAAAAAACAAACTTCTATAAAACAGCTTTTGCTTTCTTTCCCTTGGAAATATAATGTAGCAAGGGTTGTCAGTGTTAAAGACTTACTCTTTCTTATTTCGAAAATCTGTGAAGAGAAAGTGAACTGTCAGATTCAGCAAAACCAACTTATAGAGTAGTGTGCTCAAACGATCTTTTTTCGGGAAGAAATACCATGTTTAAAATGGCTTGAATCAATAATTTGGCAGGGGTAGGGGGGATTCCATTAAAATATTTAAGAAATGCCAAGTTATGTAAATAGATGAGAAGTGCAGCAATCAATATTCCAAAAAGCAGCCTCTGTAGTTACAAGAACACTACCTTGAAAACTAATGTTTTGACAGATACCAGATAAATCTCTTCTTTAAAAATTCTCAGTATATGCCATTTTGTAAACTCTTCAGGGCATTTTGACTTAAATGCGATTTATAAAGCGAATATTGTGTTGTCATTTGAGTTGGAAGAAACCTTTAATGGGTCAACTAGTCTTAGGAAGAATCTAGTTGATAAGGGTTGAATTTGTTGATGTCTTGCAGGTTTTTTCAGAGATGGAGAAACTTTTTGGGGGAGGGGCGGTATTGGGGTTTGATCTCAAGGCCTACACCTTGAGGCACTCCACCAGCCTCCCCCCCCCTTTTTTTTTTTTTTTTTTTTTTTGGTGAAATTCCCCCCCCCCCATAGGGTCTCAGATTATTTCCCTGGGCTGGCTTTGAACCATGATCCTCCTGATCTCTACTTCCTGAATAGCTAGGATTACAGGGTGAGCCACTGGTGCCTGGCTAGGAGAGACATTTATGCTGGATGTCTTAAGAGTTTGAGAATGTATTTTTCTGTGAGAGTTCTTTATTCGTGATTTCCTAGCTAAATCCCGCAGTCAAGCTGTGTTTGTCTAGTAGCTTTTCTTTTTCTTTTGTTGTCAAAAAAACACTGTGGCTGGAGGCTTGTCTCAAGCAGTAGAGCTTCGTGAATCCGAAGGTTCAAAGCACCCCTTTCCCCCCACCCAAAGGGAAAAAAAGTCTTGATTTCACATCTACCTTGGAAAAGGGATTTTTAAGGCTCCCTTGTTTAAGACCTTTTACTAACTTTGCACTTCTTTTTAAATTATAGGAGAAATTAACAAGAGGTACAAAGTAAAATCATTTAATTTTGAGATGTCTGAAGCCATTCTTTTTGGTGCCTGTCATGTAATAAATTTTCCAGAAACATACTGTCACTTTTTTGTGTGTGGTTAGTGTTTGAATTCAGGGCTTCATTCTTGCAAAGCAGGCACTCTCTAACTCGAGCCACCCCTCCTCCTGTGGTTATTTTGGAGATGGAGTCTTGCAAATTACTTGTCTGGGTGGGCCTCAAACCTCAGTCCTCCTGATCTCAGCCTCCCAAGTTGGTAGGATTGCAGATTTGAACCAGGGGTTCCCAACTAGTATATTTAATGTTGGCTAAATTCTTACTTTGCTATATTCAGCTTTGTAGGGTTGAACCCAAAAAATAAAATAATCAGTTTTCAGCCTTCAAAACATTTTTATAATGACCATATGGTATATGGTTAATTTCTCTTAAGTTAGAAAAGAGTAAATGATGATGGCCTTTGTTCAGTGTTGATTTCCTAACTACTGTAACCTGGCAACTGAATTTTTTCTTTTTCAGTTAGGCTTTTTTTTTTCTCTCCACAGTTAGGCTTTAACTAGAGCCAGTAGAAACTGAAGTGACAAAACTCTCTTGAGTGCAGGCCACTATTTTATTGCTAAAGATTCATTGTTTAGTTGTATTGCCTGTTTAAAAATCTAGAAACCTGCATCATTTTGTGGTCATAGATAGTCTCTTTTTCAGAAGAAAATGCCTTTGTAAACTTTTAATGCTGTTTTCAAACTTCAAAAGAATGAAATTCTAAAGAACTATGGAAAGGTCATAGAGTTGCTTGGAAGAGAAACACAAATTTTGGGGAGAAATAGGACCATGAACAGGTTTTGTCTTTATGTCTTAGAATGGGAGTTAGTAAATTAAAGGGCTAGAACAGAGGTTCTACTAATGTTCTTGGTTCCTGATATTGTAAGTTTTGGTGGGTTTTTTTGCCCTTATGGGGTTTGAACTCAGGGTATCCCATTTTTGCAAGGCAAGCATTCTACTCCTTGGAGCCACTCGGCTAGCCCTAGAAGTTTTTTTTATGGTGCTATGAAGACAAAAGGCATAACTAGCAGTCTCATTTATGAGGTGGTTGGGTCAAACAACACGACTATTTCATTCTTAAAGGGTAGTAGCTATTTAAAAAAGTATACAAATCAAGTGAAAAGAAAAAAATTATTACTAGTTACTGGTGGGATGTGTATGCCTTTGGGCACTTATAACATTTCACACTTTGAAATGTTATGTATTTCCATCTCACTTTCTGTTCCCCATTGGTTTTGTTTTTTGGTGGGTACTTGTGTGTGGTTTTTTTTAATTTATTTTTTTTTGGTTTTGGAGATTGAGTCCAGAGCTTTATGCAGGTGTTCTACCACTGAGCTACACATCTCCCTCCTCTTTATTTTTACTTTTTTTTTAACAGCACAGGGGTTTGAACTCAGGACCTTACTCTTGCAAGGCAGGTGTTCTTACCACTTGAGCCACTTCTCCAGCCCTTTTTTTGTGTTGGGTAATTTCAAGATAGGGTCTCTGTCTCAAACTGTTTGCCTAGGCTGGCTTTGAACTGTGATCCAATGGTGCCCAGCATTGTTATTTTTTTAAATCACAACAACTGCTAGAAATCCAGTGTTGAGCTGGGCACCAGAGGCTCACACCTGCAGTCCTAGCTACTTTGGGAGGCTTGTGCTTTGACGTCAGCCTGGGCAAATAGTTCAAGAAACCACATGTTTGAAATACCCAAAACAAAATGGACTGGAGATGTGGCTCAAGCAGTAGAGTACCTGTTTTGCAAGTGCGAAGCCCTGAGCTCAAAACCTAGTTTCACACACACAAAAACAAATCCAGCTTTGAGAAGATGAAACTTACAGAATGAAGAGGGATATAGTGCATTCAGGTGTTGAACCACCTCAAACTAGTACATACCAACATTTATCAACGTTGTGATGAATTCTCCATGGCACCCTAATGCACCTTGACATTTCATTTGGGAAACCGTGCTAGCATATTTGTTCATACCGCCTTTCCAGAGAATTTTTAGTAGTACAACTGATGCACAACAGATCAGAAAATACGAGAAATATCTTAGGGTTTCTCTGAGCAAAGAGGACTCTGTGTGTATGTGTGTTACTTAATGGGGCTTCAGGTTTACAAAGCAGGCACTCTACTCTTTGAGCCATACCTGCAGTTCATTTTGCTCTGGTTATTTTGGAGATGGGGTCTCTTGAACTATTTATCCAAACTACAGGGTAAATAAACTATCATGCCTGGTAGGGGCTTCTTCCTTTTGTAGGCTTGAGGTCAGGGCCTACACCTTGAGCTACTCCACCAGCCCATTTTTGTGAAGGACTTTTTCAAGTTACGGTATTTCAAACTATTTGCCTGAGATGGCTTCCAACCTCAATCCTCCTGATCTCTGCCTCCTGAGTAGCTAGGATTACAGGCTTGAGTCACTGGTGCCCAACTAAATATAAGCTGCTTAAAGGCTGGGATTTTCATCTTCTGTTGACTACTTTTTCTCCAGAACAGTCCCTGGCACCAAATCCAGTAAATACTTATTTAATGAATAGTGTTCAAACTTTAAATAAGTTTATATTTATTTAAAATTT